GCGCTTATACTCTGATGATGAGGATTATACATGCGGCATGTGATGTGGTGCGCTTATACTCTGATGATGAGGATTATACACCCGGCATGTGATGTGGTGCGCTTATACTCTGATGATGAGGATTATACACGCGGCATGTGACGTGGTGCGCTCATGCTCTGATGATGAGGATTATGCACGCGGCATGTGACATGGTGCGCTCATGCTCTGATGATGAGGATTATACACGCGGCATGTGATGTGGTGTGCTCATGCTGTGATGATGAGGATTATACACGCGGCATGTGATGTGGTGCGCTTATACTCTGATGATGAGGATTATACACGCGGCATGTGATGTGGTGCGCTCATGCTCTGATGATGAGGATCATACATTGCTGGCGCCACTGAGAGCCCTTGCTCACACCATCCCACCCTTTGCTCGCTGTTTCTGCTCATCCCTGCAGACCGTCTCTCTTCTCTAATCGCCACGCCAAGGGAGTCACCTCGAACGCAACTTGGATCGTCATATGTTGCTGGCAACATTGAACGTCCTCGCTCACGCGAGTCCCACTTTTTGCTTCCTGATTCTGTTTTTCCCTGCAGACCGCCTCTCTTCTCTTATCGCCAAGCCAAGAGAGTCATCTCGAACGTACATTGGATGCTTCCAAAGGGGAATTGTGATTACTAACCCCAAGAAGAAGTGGTGAGTTGCTGTATTACACCTAGGTCACGCTCGCTGGCACTCCTTTTGGCTGCTCTCTTAATTGGTCCATACGGCATACAGTGTACGTAGTGTTATACGGTGTACATTCGATTTTGAAGCAGTCGAATGCTCCTAGTTTTCCGAATTTAGGGTTGTGGTGGACACCTCTGCTAGTAGATCTGCACTGTGGATGCCTGATTGATCATGGAGAGGGTACAGGCGCGTTCGCCTGGGGGGTTATGGGCGCACTGACCCGCTACTGAAACAAGCCCTTTATCCCAATGGTCTAGTGGTTGGGATTGTGACATGGTATCAGAGCGGTCTCGAGTTCAAATCCCGGTGTATACACATGTAGGCCGGTGCCGCTGTGCATAGTCCTGGGCCTCCCAGTGTGGGGGGGTGTCAGTAGATTTGCACTGTGGATGCCCGATTGATCCTGGAGAGGGTTACAGGCGCGTTCGCCTGGGGGGTTATGGGCGCACTGACCCGCTACTGAAACAAGCCCTTTTATCCCAATGGTCTAGTGGTTGGGATTCTGACAACATCTGGGCATCTTTTGAGACGTCTCAAAAGAATTTAGGGTTATGGTGGACACCTCTGCGCATTTCTCAACGTTTTTATATTCACCCAGTCTGGGCAACCTCTCATGCTGTTCTCGTGAGTTATCTCGCAAAAAATGCAACAACGTATCCTTAACCTGCTCACCGCTGTTCTCGTACTCGTTATTCACCTCTTCCTAATTCTGTTCTGCTGCGCAGGTTTGAGCCCCAGGCGAGGCTGCTGTCAGAATGTTATCTTATGCTCTAGCCTGTAGTGGGGTGTCAGAACATTATAGCTTATGCTTTTGTGTAGGCTGTAGTGGGGTAGCCCATATGGGGTACAACCCAATTAGGGTTAGTACTTGTACCCAACTGTTTCATAGTTCATTCATTCTCGTTCTCATCTTCTCATTGGGTGCTCTATAGCGAGTACAACCCTTCTAGGGTTTGCTATTTGTATCCTCATTCTTGCTAGTGCAATCCTCTTCTCTCTTCTAAACTTTTCACAGCTGCTAGGGCCGGAGTATTTCAAGTATGCGTCCGGTTCCATCTACTCCCTCTCGTACGACGCGGTCAAGATTCTCAGTTTCCTCCCCAAGGGCTGGTGAGTTGCTCTTGTCTTGCAACCAGGTGAGCAGTGCATGGTAGTCCTTGCATGCCGACGGATATATTGAAATCACTTTTGAGAATTCTCAAAAGTTATTCCTTGCATGCCGACGGACGGTCCCATCTATCTCCTCTCACATGACGTGGTTAAACTCCTCAACTTCCCTCCCCCTAATAAAACTAGTGAGATTTCTCTCGATTGCTGAGATTTCTCTAGATTTCTCTAGATTTCTGAGTCATGCATTGCCAATGTTTTCAACTCCATTCCCAAGGGTGGGTGAGGTGAGCCGTGCATGCCTTGTCACGAGGAGTGCCGTGCTTATCTTGCAACGAAGTGGGATGTGATTGGTCGGCAGTCAATACATTCAACAGGAAGGCATTAAACCCTGACAGGTACCATACGATTCAGTACAACCTCTGTACTAAGCCCAACTCTTGCTCTCCGATCTCTGTTTCTGTTACTTCACCAACTCTTATCCTCGCAGGCTGAGGATGTTTGTGAACGAGGATGCGAGTGTGGGGGCATGGATGCTCGCCTTTAACGTGTAGCATCAGAAAGTGCCATCTCTCTGCCAGATAGTATGCACTCCCACTGCTGTGGCTATCTGGGATTTCAGGTGTTCTGGCGTCTGCAACCCTGATGTGCGAATGAAGGAGCTACATGAAAACCCTGCTTGTGCGGGGAAGCTTCCAATGCAAAGCCCGAGTACATCACGGTCACTCGTTTCGGTTGGGTAATTGTTCGCAAGATTGCGAGATCATCTTGCAAGAACGAACCCTGGTTTGGCTTGTCTGCTGGGTGCGTATATCCGGGGCCTTACGGTAACAATTGGATGATCATCCACCAGATACACTGTTCATTTTTCCCATATGTAACCTTAAAACCCAAATATGTATATAATTTTCCAGTTAAAGACTCTACCCCCCCCCCAGTGAAGATCCCTGGGTAGCTTGTGTGGGGTTAGGTATCCTATATCGGCAGGTTTTCTTCGTAGGTAACCATTGTAAAGAGGAGAAACATTATAAGCCCAATAGTCTTACCAACTATACTCCTATCATATACCTAAGCTCATTACACCAATCATATCAACAGACATGTGCCCTGCGATCCTATATCGTGTAAACAAAAATCAGGTTCGGGCTGGAACCAATCTTCTTGATGGCGGCCGGCACAGGTGAAGACGTGGTGGAATGCGTTTTGAGCTTACTCATATAACACCAGGCGTGGTGGGATGCGGTGGCACCAATCACTGCCAACATCGAGCGCAGCTTTCATTCCTGAAGATCCCAGCGGAATCAGGTCGACGGACCCGAGTTGCCAGGGTCAACGAGGGGGGTCGACGGACAGGGGTCTGACGAGGCGGGCGAGTGACGCGCGTGCGGGCCCGCCAGCCTGGCCCTGGGCTGGGCCGGGCGCACGACCGCCGCCCCGCAACCACCCCCCCAAAGAGTGAACAGCGACCCACGTTACCGGGTGGGGGCGGCGAGCTGGCGAGACCTCGGGCGAGGGGAAGTAACCCTGCCGCGAAGGCAGCCCACCCCTCCCTCGTGCCCGCGAGGCCCTAGTAACCCATCGCGGCCTGCCCGTACGGGCAGGCGAGGTCCACGCGAAAATCGGGGGCTCCCCTCGGGTCGCTCGACTATTTCGCGACCCGTTGCGGTGACGCCACGTGCTCGCCCGTCATTTCGCATCGCGTGCATGAGACATTTCGTACCCCCCGAAACTCGAGCGAAAACTTGGGTCCTTCGCCACGGGGCGCACGGCTTTCGCGACCCTCTGCGAAATCGACACGTGGTGCCGAAACGTCGCACCGCGCCCACGCGAAGTTGCGTCCCCTGGCCGACCGAGGCCGGTGCACGTGACGTCGACCTGTTGGCTCGGCGGCGAGGGTGCACTTGTGCCACGCAACTTGTGCACGAGCCCTGCCGAGCCAGGCATCACGGCCCCCTGGGCGACGCTCAACCGGGCCTGCGTGGCTCCGCCTGGCTTTTCTTCGTTGGAGGTGGACTGGCCCCTCATTTTCGCGTTCTCGTTTCTCTTTCATTTTTCCTCCCACCTCGGCGCCTTCCATACTCCCACCGCTTCTTCCCTTAGCCTGTAGCATAGCATCCTTGCTCTCCCGCCATGGCAGCCGGCCAGAAAGCCGCCGAAGCGGCGCCGACCTCGCTAGATTTCCCCCTGCATCTAGACATCGGTAGAGGACACACGGCCAAGTTCGAAGAGCACGACTACGCCGTTCTGACAAACCCTATGCTAGAGTTTAACGCCCGTTGCTTGGGACTCGGTCTCAAGTGAGTGTCTTATGGAGATGTCATCGTCGACGGGCCTATTCCATGCTGGTCGGCCATGGCGGGGTTTCAATGCGTCCAGTAGTATATGTCGACGGGCTTAGAGTTCAGGCACATCACATCGGTGATGCCGACGTAATGCGTTAGGTCGTCGACGACGCTGAGTTGTGCCGAAGTCGTTCGGCTCCCGTCATTCCACCGTCGTGCCGCGCACCTATACCTCTCTAATGTGTTGTAATCATGCATGCGTGCAGGCACGCATGGATCCGCTCAACGGATGCAGGCGAGCGATTGTGGTCGATAGGAGTCGGCCGGCTTCGGGCGGCAATGGGTCAGGATGACCACACATGCTTTGCGACGATTTTCGACGCCGACGTGGCGGTTATCCCACTGATATCGAGGTGAGCAGGTTCGAGGTCCTGCTGTGTGCTGCAACCTGTGTCGGTGATTTGTTCTGAGCGCCATCGACGTGCCTTGTCTGTGCAGCATCGCACCGCTTCCGGGAGCACATTGCAGCGTCGTTCTCATCCTGTGCCCCGGCGATTTGTTCAATGCCTCGGGGCAGGAGGTCAGGACCTCGATCCGGCACGCCGACCCGCAGACAGTGAAGGAGTGGCACCGCGACGAGGCGATCCGCGTGCTGAAGTGAGCTCGATAGTTTAGTCGACATCGCATACATTGTCGACACGACGCGTGCACCGTGCTAACCGACCGTCCTTGCCGTGCTTTTGCAGGTTTTTCCGGACCGCTGTTCTGGCCGAGCTGCGGCGCGAGGGTAGGAAATGGGAGTGGGCGAAGCCGTCCGAAGACGAGGTGCAGGAGAGGCTCGCCGACTGCGACGAACCCCTTCGAGATGTGAGTTCCGGACGATTCGCCGTCATATGGTGTCACATCTACGCCGCCCTCATCCTTGCTCTCTGCACTGTTGTATGCAGAAAATTCCCGATACCGTCCGGGACTCGGACGCGGGCTCCGGCCTGCTAGCAATGAGCGCGTTGATCTGGGTTGTGAGGCGGTTCCAGCGCCTGACCGGCGACCTCCGTCGCATTGCCACCAGCATGGACAAGCCCACCGTCTCGGGGTTGAAGGCGCTGCGGAACGAGATGGTAGCCCTCATCAAGAAGCAAGTCCCGCTCATACGGTCGGGGAAAACCGTTGTTGCTGCCGACGCCTGTGACGACGACGGCGAGGAAGTCCATTCTGCATCCGTACCAGTAGGGGTCGCCCCGAACGTCGCTGATGCGCGTGGCAAGTCGGGAGTCGGCGTCGACGAGGCCGATGCGGCCGCAGGAAAGGGGGTGACCGGGACCGAGGTTGTTCACGGGGATGATGATGGGGTCCAGGATCGCGAGGAGGAACGTGAGGGTGAGGGGGGCTCGGAGGAGTCGTCGGGGTCGATGTCGGGGTCGAGGTCGGGGTCGGGATCGGGCTCGGAGTCGGAGTCGGAGGAGGAGCAGGAGCAGGAGACGCAGGAGCACGAGAGGCAGCACCAGGAGGAGCAGTTGGTAGAGGTGGAGGACGTGGAAATGGCGGAGGGGTACGTTGTCAGAGGAGCGGAGGGGTACGTTGTCGGAGGAGCGGAGGGGTACGTTGTCGGAGGAGCGGAGGAAACGGGTGGGAGATCGGCGGATGTCGAGAACGACGAAGGGGAGGGGAAGGGTGCGACAGCGAATATCGGCGAGGTCGGCGTGGAGGCGGCTCACGGAGGTGGTGGCATGGTCGAGGTCGGTGAAGGGGATAACGCCGCGGTCCCGGAGCAGAGGGGCGTGGATGTGCATACCGATGCCACCGCGGAGAAGGCCGGCGGGGAGCGGTCTAGGAGGAAGAAGGCGGCGAGCGGTCATCCCGGTTCCACCGCGGCTGGGCGGCAGGCGCGGCTGGACGTCGTCGATCAGCTGAGGGCGGAGAACAGGCGATTGCGTGCAGACAATGCACTCCTTGAACGGCGGCTCGGTGAGCAGACGGGGCGGGTCGACAGCTTGGCGGCGGCATTAGCTGGGCTCCTCGAGAAGGTGAAGGGTTTGACCGCCCAGGTCGCCAACACCGACCGGAAATCGGAGGAGCGCCTCAAAGAGGCCACGTCGACCATGGCGATCACAATCACCGAGGGCCTCACCGACAACATGGACAGCGCCATTCAATCGGCCAAGTCCTTCGCCGAGCTAGCGAGGCAGACGCTGCTGGATCTTGACGACCCCAAGGGTCGAGCGGCGGTCGCACGCGCGACCGCGGTGAAGACAGTGACCGAGCACGTGACGGCGGAGGTGGGCGAGGCGAGGAAGGGGTTGGAGGAGTCGTTCATCAAATGCATCGGCGCCGCGCAGACCAACATTGCCGCCGCCGTCGCGCACCGCCTAGTCCAGCCGCCGCCGCCTACCGGCCCAGCGCAGGCCTTGCCGGAAGATTTCCTGAAGTCTTTCAAGGAGGACGTGCTGAAGGCGGTGACGGAGACCACGCAGCAGTCCTTCCTCGCCTCCGGACTGAAGATAATGGCCGAGGTCGTCGGCACGGTGGCGTATGCTCGGCGTGGGTCGTCGCCGTCGGCAAACGACGCCGGCCAAGCGCAACCTACGGAGGGCTTGAAGCTGGGTCACAAGAGGCGGGGAGGCGGCGGGGGGGGCGACGGGGACAATTCGGCGAACACGAAGAGGAGCAAGGGAGGCGGGGGGTCTGGCGGCGGGGGGGGGGACGGAGACGATTCGGCGGGCGCGAGGCGGACCAAGGGAGCGGCTGGTTCTCGCGTCGCCGGCGATGGGAGCATGGGAGCCGGCGACGGCAGTTCGTTGAAGCAGTCGGGGAAGAGCGTGGTCGACATCCTCAGGAAGCACTGGGCTCAGGTTGGAGCGGCCAGCACGGGCCATGGTGGTGGGGGTCCCGCCGACGAGCATGCCACTGATGACGCACTGCCAATGGCTCCGCCTTCGGTCGGCGTTAAGCCACCACGACAGGGTAGCGGTGTGAAAGGCCTGGGCGACAAGGAGAAGGCCGCCGCCAAAACGGCCCCAGGCGGGTCCGCGAAAGCTGGCCAGGGCCCAAAGACAGGGGTTGAGGAGGCGTCAGCGGTTCCTCACCAGTCTCCCGCGGGTGCACGCCATCCGACCGGACCGTCTGCCGGGCGACCTACCGACGTCCCGCGCCATGCCGACGTACCGTCTGCCGACAAGGTTGGCCGCGCGGGAAAAGGGGCGGCAGTTGCGGACGCGCTCAAGGAGCAGCTCAGGCTCCTAGCCGGCCACAGGGCTGTTCAACAGGCCCCCCCTGCTGTCGACGTCCCATCGGCCAGTGGGCCACGTGTAGTGCCGGTCGTCGCCGCCCGTACTCCTGCAGACCCAAAGTCCGCGTTGTTGCGCGCCCAGCTGGGCGCACTAGCGTCGACTGAGAGGACTCAGCAGGCTTCTGGCTCTGGCTCTAAGCCGTCGTCGGCGAATGTCGCACCACCCACCCATGTGGCAGCTGATGTGGAGAAGGCGGCGGAGAAGGGCGTTCGTGCCGCGCTTGCCACCGGCGGCGGCGCCGTTGAGGAGGTCCCCGCAGACGCTGATATCGCTGCCATACAGGCCCATCTGGATGCAGCCAATCCCCGAACCCTGGCCATCTCCGACACGGAACATGTGGAGCCTTCGGCGGGACTCGTCGGCATCGCGGCAGAGCCTAGTGCGACCGGTGATGCGGTCGGTGAGGGAAAGTCGAAACGGAAGGGGAAGGCGGGCTCATAGAGGAAGACGCGGGAGAAGTCGGAGGTGAAGGCGGCGGATAAACAGAAGAGGATGGCGGCGGAGACGGCGGCGGACAAAGATCGAGGCGGCATTGGGGAGGTTGAAGGGAAAGGGGAGAATCAGAAGTCGCCCGGCGAGGGTACGTCGACGGGGAGGAAGGGGAAGGACAAGTCGGTCGGAGAAGGTGCGTCGACCGGGAGAAAGGGGAAGGAGAAGGCGGTCGGCGAGGGTTCCTCGAAGGGGAGAAAGGGAAAGAGGAAGGCGGAGGAGGAGGATGAGGATGTCGAGGAGGTGGAGGAGGTCGAGCAGGAGGAAGAGGAGGAGGAGGAGGAGGAGGAGGAGGAGGAGGAGGAGGAGGAGGAGGAGGAGGAGGAGGAGGAGGAGGAGGAGGAGGGGAAGGGCAAGGAGAGGAGGGGTCATGGCATCCGACACGATACCTCGGGCGACAAGCAAGGGTGGGTCGGCGAGATTAAGGTGCACGGCATCAATCGATACATCGGCAAGTCGCGGGACAAGATGGAGCTCGCGTACGTTCACTCCATCGCGTACGTCGTCTACGACGGTTTCGTGAGCAAGGTGCTCATGACCGAGCTCACCGGCTTGGACAGCGCCGAATTGGAGAGGTGGAAGGAGGTGTGGGATGAGGTCAGGATCTTGCCGACAGGGATGTGGACGGTGATGTGGGCCCGGGGTACGCTCCTTCCAAAGACACGGTAAGTCGGCAATCCTCCGATTCAAAGTCGATGTCGTTGTCGTTGTCACTCATGTTCGCCCTGTTTGTGGTGGCGTGACAGGCTGACGGAGATCCTCGACGCGTATCGCCATTACAAGTCCACAGGCGATTGTCTCCACGCCGCGCTCCTGCCAGCGATATGGTACCCAGTCGATGCTAGCACCGAGGAAGGCCGGGAGAAGTCGGCGTCCATGATGTCGGCGATGATAGGCCGCGTGTCAATGTGCGCTGCATATGGGAAGACCGCTGCGGCAGCGGCGAAGAAGGAGGGAGACAAGGAGGAGAAGACGGATATGGCGGCATGGGCGTTAGCAGCATCCGCATGCGCTGTGTGGTGCTTCGTCGAGAACGGCGATGCCCAGCTGGCGGATGCTGTGGAAGAAGGGAAGTCGGCGGCGATCATCGGCGGAGCGAGCCAGGCGACCGCCGATGTATTCGGAAAAGTCATGGAGGCGGTGCTGAAAGCCGAGATGAACAGGGACCGCCCCTTGGGAGAGGTTGCCTACAACGTCGCGCCAGCACTCCAGAGGACCGCCCTTGATACGGTATATCCGGGGGGGAATGCTGGAGTAGATGCCGACGTTATCGCTAGAGCGACGGTTGAGACGATGGCGTTTTGGGGAATGTGCCCCGTCGCCGGGCCGAAACTAAGAGCGAGGGACATCGCGGTGCCGATTGACGCGCAGATGAAGGCCGATCTTGACAACAGGGGGAGGAAGGGTTTGAGGGGCAAGAAGGGGACGAAGACCAAGGGCGGCACGGAGAAGGTCAAGAAGTCGAAGAAGGACAGCACGACGGCCTAGTCGACGGCATGCTAAGATTGAGTGCTGCGTGGACTCGATGATGAAATGGTCGATACCGTTTTCCTTGTTTTGGCTGTCGGATCCCTTTTATGCTCTTTCTTTGTGCGTGCCTGTCTACTTTACGTAGGATGAGTAATGAACACATTAGCTAGTAATGATTGTCTACTTCAGTTTGAACGACACGTGAATGCCCTGCTAGGCCGAGAACAACAGGATCATTGAGAGAAACAAAAAGTCGACATCAGTATCAGTATGAAACATAGGCATGCTGCATCAACATCTACAACAAGCAACAGGCCACAGTAGCAGGAGGCCTGGGAACATTCAAGCGGTTTTCTTGCGCTTGGTCGACTTATTGGTCGGAGGCAGCTGCCCGGCGTCGTTTTCGCCGGCCAGGTCGGCCAACGTCTTCTTCATCTGCTCAACCCAGGTGTCCGGGAACAGGTCGGCGACCCACGTTTCGGGCTTGAGACCGCGCGCCACGAACGCACAGGCGACACGAAGCTTGGAAAATTCCGTCTTGCCGAGCCCTTTGACGCCCTTACCCTGCCCAGCATAGGTCGCTACGGCGTCCGCGTTGAGCACCGTGAGGGCATCCGCGAAGGTCCCAATGCCAGGCGCCGCTATCTTGTTAAGCGCGTCGACGGTGGCTTCCGTGTCGGCTTCGCCGTCGCTCCTGCGAAGCTGGCGCACCGCATCGATGACCTTCATCATGCGGCGCACCCTCTTCCCGTGTGCTCCCTACGAGGCTCCGTCAAGGAGGGTGTGGCGGTCGACGAATCCTGGCTCCCTGAACCTGTCGCACAGACGACGGGTGTCGGCGCTGGTGCACGAGGTCCAGAGGCGCCACGCGTCCTTGACGGTCGTTGCAGTCCGCCAAGGCTGCACTACGTTCAGCTCGTAGGTAGCCTCTTCGACCGTCTGTGGGGGTTTATTGGGTTTGTTGGCTCCTCCACCCCTACTTGCCGACTCCGCGGAGCCACCGTCGCTCGGCGACTGGTCGTTAGCGGCTGGCGGCGCCTCCGGCATCCTTCGAGCTTCTGAAACGCGGAGAGCCTCGGTGAGGCGTGTTATCTCGGCCGCGAGCGACGCGATGGTTGCGTCGCGATTCTCGATCTTCTCCTCGAGGTCGAGCTTCTGGACCGTTGACCGCTCCCTCTCGAGCTTAAGCGTCTCCGTGAGGGAGACGACCGCGAACTGGGCGTCATGGGGGACCGATATCTCCTGCAATGGTATGCGAATAACGGTGCAGATGAGGGGTTGTAGCGGTCATAGATAACATCGCGACGTCGGCATAAAAGATGACCTACCTCTGGCTGGATGAGGGTTGGATCTTGCCGCTTTTTTATGGTGTCGGTGTCGGTATTCTCGACCCTCTTCGCCCAGTGCTGGAAGAGGGGAATCCGGCAGAGCTTGGAATACTGGATGTACGGGTGCCAAGGGGTGCGGACGAGTTTCACCGCGAGGTCCTCGGCGACAATGCGGCGGAACATCAGAAGGGTGCGCCAGAAATGCACGGCCGCAACGTCGGCGTCGGACCCCTTCTTCGCGAGTTCTTCTGCCTGGAGTTAGACATCAGACGGGGGTTATTTCCATGGTGGATAGGACAGTACCATGCAAGATTGGTCAGCACCGATAAACAAACCTTGTTGAGGAGGTCGTCGACGTCGGGGAAGATGTGCTCGGCGATGAGAGCGAGGAGTTCGTCTCCCGGTTCCACCCTACTGCGACCCAAGAAGTAGTCCTGCGTGAATCCCGAATAGCCGGCCTTCTTCATCACCACGCCGACGGGAATGGACGTGATGTAGGCTCGAGTCATCTTGTCGAGAGCCCAGTGACCCAGCTCGGCTATCTCGGCGCGAGGCGTACCTTGGATGGCCAACTCCTGCGCCCCGCCCGCCCGAGCGGCATGGACGTTCCGCTTGCAGAACAACCCGTTCGTCTTCCACATCTGCCTCGTCCATCGCTGGTGGCTGGGAGCTGAGAGTTCGCCCTGCTTGGGGTCATTGCGGGCGAAGAACAGGTGCTTCTTGTACCAGAGCTCGCGTGTGCTGGTGTCGACCGGCGGAATGAGGTCGACTCCGTGAAACTGGCCGATCTGGTCGAGGACAAAGTGTAACCACAGCCCGCTCTCGCCGACGGTGCACAACTCCGCTTCTAGGTGCCGCGCCGCGTAGCTCTGTTGAAGACGCGCATCCTTCGACGTCTTCGAGTTCCGCGCGGCGACCACCATGACGACCGGCTGGTTATCCGGGTTCACCGACGAGGTGCTCGCCAGTCGGTACAGGAAGATGTCGGGGAGCGTTATCTCGCGTATGCTTGCACCGCGCATGAGGCTGTGGTGGGAGAGCAGCGTGAGCACCTTGATGAGAAGAAACCTCCACAGCGTCTGCGAAGGTGTGGTGAAATGCGGGCTCCATGCTGACGCCGCCCAAGCCGGCAGCACCCTCGTCATTATCTGGCGGAACTGTTCGGCGGTGTATGTGTCGCCGATGGTGCCGCGTCGACGGTCGGCGCATTTACTGTCGACATAACAATATATGGATATGAATATTAGGGCGAGGAAACAAATCGATGGCGACATAACACGGCGATGCATGCCAACTTACTCGAGGTCCCTCTGATTTTTCGTGCGGACCATGACCCGCACCTCCGACCGGACCACCGAGATTTCCCGCATGATGCCCAACTCCTTCTCCTTGAAGAGCGTCGCCTCCACCCTCGCCGCCATCTGGCAGGCCTTGATGCGGCCGAGGATCATGTGCACCGTGTAGGCTCGCACTGGCTCGTTCGTGTCGGCGTCGATCTTGTACTCCCGCCTCATGAACTTGATGTAGGCGCGCAGTCGCGTACTAGTGACCCGGGGGCCGTGCAGCCATATGTGCTTCCGCTTGACCACCTTCTCGTTGTCCCAATCCTTGCTCTTGTTGTTGTGTGTCCAGTGCCCTATCTCGTTGACGTGCCTCATTTGTTCTGCTGTCGGCAGTTTGTCGCCAATTTTTTTAAGCATCTTCGCCGTCCACCTTTTGTAGTCGTATATCCATGAGGTGTAGGACTTGAGCGTGCTCTTGGCCTCTATGGTTTTCAGGTGGCGCATTGCCTCCATCACGAGCACGTCGACGCACGCGTACACCATATCTTCCTCTACGAAGTCGGCCGCCTTCCACATTTCTCGAGGGACCGACGTGTGCAGCAGATCCTCAAGCTCGTTCTCGTCCAACAGTTCCTCTATGAACGCACGTTCCCCCCTGAGTTTTTCTTCCAACGTGCGCGGACCTGCACCACGTCGGGGCCGCGGGTCGTCTTCGTCGTCCTCGTCGCTCGCCGATGAATAATCGTCCTCATCCGGGTCGCCCGATCCGTCCGGCACAGACGACGGCCCGGCCTCCCCTGCATCCGTCGGCGTCGACGTTTTGCGTGGTTTCGTGAACTCCCCTATCGGCGCGGGCGGAACGTCCTTGGTGAACTCTCCCTGGGGGATTTGGGCCAGGGCGTCGAGATCGTAAAGCAGCGGCAAAGTCGACGAGGGGTTACTGGTCGGTGTACGGTCTACCGGGCGGACGTCCTCACCCTGGCTAGCGGGGTTCGGAACGTCCGTCATGTCGACATCGGCGGGGGGTGGGTTGGTTTGCGGCGGTGTCGAACGAGGCTGTCCTCTGGCCATGATACGGCGACCTAGGGCGATGGGAAGTCGGCGTGGTGAGGTCGATAAACTACTAAATGCGTATTCTATGTCGGCGGTATCTGGCAGGTCGGGACAGCAGACAATCCTACGAGAGGTCGGCGACCACGTCTGCCTACTATCACGACGCCGACGTTACGCCTCTAGAGAAAATCCAAGTGCCGGTCGTCAAGTCAGTGGTAAAAAAAAAGAAGCAATGGCACACACAATGGCAGGCGGAATGAGCGACCATTTCGGGGACCACGGATGGGGATGGTCGTGAGCGACTCCGCACCACTTGGCGCTCCACGCAAACCCCAGTGCACGACGCCGCCATGCATGTACGCTCGTGCGGCGGCGCCGTGTCCGACGTGCCACCAGGCGTGCATGGCTGCTTGCTTGCAGCGCTTCGCTCATCATGCTCTTTTCGTGGCTGCTACACGCTGGCTCTTTCGTGCGGCAACGTGGCGTGGTCCCGAATTAGGTGCACCTCGGTAGGTCGAGGTCGGGAGACACTGCCGTGTGGCACCACGATGATGCTCTTATGGTCGACGCCGACAGGTCCCGCATCATCAGTGTCCACTGCACGTAGCCATAGATAGTGGACGGCCGGATTTCTCCTTGCGCATGTGAGCAACCGTTGGATGAATGCCGTGTGGTATGCACCGACATTGCCACGTTCATGCGCGAGATTCTCCCAAGCGAAGCACCCCGACCTTCCGTTGGCCCGTCGTGTCCAACCTGGCAGACCTAGGTGGCCCCGCCATCCAGGGGACTATCTCGGGCGTCCCTTTGTGGCCGCGTGGCGATCATCGTGGCCCGACTTGCCGAGCTGGTATTCTGACACGCGGCTGAGACGTCCTTCTCGGGATTGTCTCAGCGGAACTCTAGGTCGACAGGTCGTCGACCATCCCGAGGGCTCACCAGCACCGGGCCCAGCCAGATAGGCTGGGCTTTCCACGCGGAGGTCGTCGTGGGGTCGTCAACCACGAGGAAGGGGGTTGTCCGTTCTGAACCGCGAAAATGGGCGGCAGTTTTCGTCGGCTGAGCTATACTATGCTGACGATGTGCGCCGGATTCAGCTCTCGTAAAGTTGACGCATTCACACGTACGACAGATACGACATTGTAGAACTCAGGGAATTAGTAGTCGGGTATCAAGACTTCCCGTCAGCCACCCATGGGCAAAGACAAGGAACCCCATGCAGGTGGTGTTCGCCTGGCGCGTGCACCGCATTCCCGCGATTGGTGTTCTAGTCTGCCCATGGTCAGTTGACCGCAAGACATCGATCGACGCTGCTGCGTAGGGACCGACATTGTCCAACACGGGCACATTGTCGATGGGGTGTGGGAGTGGAAGACGGTCACCGCCTGGCAGCAATATGAGCAAAGGCAAACCCATGGCAGTGCTCGCTCAGCGGGAACAGAACAGAGCGTCTTGTTTCCCCAAAACGATAACCTCAGCCTGAAATTACTTCGCCATGGTAGCCCTCGATTTGCTCCCAGAAAAAGTCGGTCCCGATATTCCGTGAAAGAACAGTAAAACCGGCGCCGTTCCTTGGGTTTACCAGCTCATGAGCTTCAAGGGTCGCAAGTCCGTCACCGCGCCGCCGCGCGTGCTGACGTCATCATGGCGCGGCGTGTCCTGGTCCCTCTTCCTATTCCTAGCCGTCGCGCTCTTCGCCCTTGCAGATGTCCTCGTTATAAGATACAGTTGCTCGTTCGCCGGATTCGGCGCGTCCCCGTCATGGAAGAGCCTCTTGAATAGTAGTAAATCCGGCTCGGAGTTAAAGCCGGCGCCGCCGCTGGTTGAAGCAAGTTTTGAGACGTCTCAAAAGCCGGCGCCGCCGCCGCTTGAAGCAAGTTATGAGACGTCTCAAAAGCCGCCGGCGCCGGATGAAGCAACCGATGAGATCGGACCGTTGGCCGGCGCGGACCCGCAAGGGATGGACGAGGCGGCGGACGTGCGAGAAATGAGCGAGGTGGCGGACGTGCGAGAAATGAGCGAGGCGGCGAACGTGCGAGAAATGGGCGAGGCGGCGGACGTGCGAGAAATGGGCGAGGCGGCGGACGTGCGAGAAATGGGCGAGGCGAACCTCGGGATCATCGAAGAGGCGGACCCGGGGGAGATCGACGAGGTGGACCCGCGAGGGATTTCTGAGTCGACTCAAAAGCCGGACCGGGGGGAGATCATCGAAGAGGCGGACCCGCGAGCGATAGACGAGGCGGACATGCGAGGGATGGACGAGAGGGGTGCAGATCGGTTGCGATACCCGGGCAGGAAGCGCGTGAAGGGGTTCGTCGGGGTTCACACCGGTTTCAAAAACGGCAGGAGGCGCGCGTTACTTCGCGAGACGTGGTTCCCCGCCACGCCCGAGGAGCACGCGCGGTAGGCCGTTCATAGGGGCATGGCATTGGGGCACGCGGGGTATGCCCGTGGGGCCATGGCGTGGGTGCGCTGGGATGCGATGGGATGCGCTGGGATGGGATGGGATGGGATGGGATGGGATGGGATGGGATGGGATGGGATGAGGATGGGATGGGATGGGATGGGATGGGATGGGATGGGATGGGATGGGATGGGATGGGATGGGATGGGATGGGATGGGATGGGATGGGATGGGATGGGATGCGATGGGATGGGATGGGAGGGGAGGGGAGGGGAGGGGAGGGGAGGGGAGGGGAGGGGAGGGGAGGGGAGGGGAGGGGGATGGGATGTGATGGGATGGGATGGGATGTGATGTGCACGCTCTCTTCACCTTCCCCCCCCTCGAGCGCAGTTCTGGGTGTGGAAGCACATCGCACGATTTTCAATTGCAGAAAACAATGAAAAATCGAGTCTAAGTGTGATATGAGCTGTGCCCTCCCTGCACCCCTTTCCCCCTCCACGTCCTCCCTCCGCCATTTGCTTATTCCCAGGACCGAAGCAACATTGGGCTTGGTGTTCTGGTTGTTATGATGTGTGGACTCTCTGCAACCCATTCCCCCTCCACCTCCCCCTCCACCGCCCCCTCTCCCTCCATGCATTAATCTCCAGCGCGGAAGCAACACTTGGCCTGGTGTTTCGCTTCATAGTCGGGCATGGAGACGCGGAGGAGTGTGATATGAGCCGTGCCCTCCCTGCTCCCCTTTCCCCCTCCACGTCCTCCGCCATTCGCTTATTCCCCAGCGCGGAAGCAACATTGGGCCTGGTGTTTCGGTTCATAGTCGGGCATGGGAGGAGCGTGGAGGACGAGGAGATGCTGCAGGCGGAGAACAGCACTCACGGGGACTTCCTTCGCATCGACGTGCAAGAGTCGTACCTCAATCTCAACCGCAAGACGTAAGCGGCTCGCGCGATCGCGAAATGGATGGCGATGTTATGCTTCTTCTTCGCGATGTGAGAGGGTCGTTGAGTGATGGCGATGAGAGGGGCTCGCATGATGGCGATGAGAGGGGCTCGCATGATGGCGATGAGAGGGGCTTGCATGATGGCGATGAGAGGGGCTCGCATGATGGCGATGTGAGGGGCTCGCATGATGGCGATGTGAGGGGCTCGCATGATGGCGATGAGAGGGGCTTGCATGATGGCGATGAGAGGGGCTCGCATGATGGCGATGTGAGAGGCTCGCATGATGGCGATGAGAGGGGCTCGCATGATGGCGATGTGAGGGGCTCGCATGATGGCGATGAGAGGGGCTTGCATGATGGCGATGAGAGGGGCTCGCATGATGGCGATGTGAGGGGCTCGCATGATGGCGATGAGAGGGGCTCGCATGATGGCGATGAGAGGGGCTCGCATGATGGCGATGAGAGGGGCTCGCATGATGGCGATGAGAGGGGCTCGCATGATGGCGATGAGAGGGGCTCGCATGATGGCGATGTGAGGGGCTCGCATGATGGCGATGTGAGGGGCTCGCATGATGGCGCCGTGAGGGGCTCCTTTTGCTGACAGCATGAGGTGATGCGGTGTTGTTATGCTTCTTCCTCACGTGAAGCTGCCAATGCATGTACCTTCCTTTCACCTTCCTTGTACCTTTCAGACTGTTAATCTCTCCTGACTCATTACTTCACTTGTTCCCGTGATTTCCTATCTCCCATCCCCCAGTCTCGTGTACTTCACTACACTCTTCAAGTTCTCCTCGCTCCTGTCCCCTCCTGCCCTCCTCTCCCCCATCCCCCATCCCCCAGTCTCGTGTACTTCACGACTCTCTTCAAGCTCTATGAAGTTGAGTTCTACGTCAAGGCAGACGACGACATCTACCTCATACCAGGTGCGCCCATCTTACACCTCCCAGGGCCCTGTATGGCCGGGTTTTATGACGTCTCAAAACTCAAGCGCTCTGAAACATGATTCTATGTAGTGTCAGCCAGATGGGGACATCCATTTGAGCCCACCCACGTAGCGCTTGGGTATGTGAGTGAAGGCATTCTGTGCTGCGGAGTATCTATTATTACGTGTAAGTTTTCTTATCATTTTTATATTTCTGAAGAAGGTGTGATGAGGATCCCATGTTGCTTGCCACATTGAAAGTCCTTTCTCTCACGACTGCCACTCCCTCCCTGCCTGCCTGCCTGCTGCCTGTTTCTGTTCAACCCTGCAGACCGCCTCTCCTCTCTGCAGACCGCCTCTCCTCTCTGCAGACCGCCTCTCCTCTCTGCAGACCGCCTCTCCTCTCTGCAGACCGCCTCTCCTCTCTGCAGACCGCCTCTCCTCTCTCACGGGTGCCACACCCTCCCTCCCTACCTGCTGCCTGTTTCTGTTCAACCCTGCAGACCGCCTCTCCTCTCTGATCGCCAGGCCAAGGAACTCATCTCGAACCTACATTGGATGCATGAAGAGGGGAACTGTGGGCACTAACCCTGATATGAAGTGGTGAGTTGCCATATTACACCTAGTTTGCTCTCTCTGGGACTGCTTTAGGCATTTTTCTCAATCGAAGCAGCATACACTATACTCAGTTTCTGAACCAGTCAGGCCGTCGTAATGTTCCGAATGTGTTGTGCTTGTCTTGTCACGCATATTACACCTAGTTGCTCTCTCTCCCGCACTCCTTTGGGCATTTTTCTCAATCCAAGCAGCATACACTATACTCAGTTTCTGAACCAGTCAGGCCGTTGTAATGATCCGAATGTGTTGTGCTTGTCTTGTTACGCATTCGGAGCCAGAGGAACGGTCCTGCTGTTCCCTTGAGCTGTCTTGTGAACAATGCGACAACCTATCCCTATCCTGCTAACTGCTCTTCTCCTACTCAATCCTCACATCTCAATGTTTCTGTTTTCTCGTGTTCTGTTCTTTGCAGGTATGAGCGCAAGTCGTGGCTTCTGGGCCTGGGGTCGCACTATTTCATGCATGAGTTCTTTTGAGACGTCTCAAAAGTCATGTTCCTGTGTTTGTTCTCTTGTGTTCTGTTCCGCACAGGTATGAGCGCAAGTCGTGGCTGCTGGGGTCGCACTACTTCATGCATGCCTTCGGAGCCATCTACGCCCTCTCCTACGACGTGGTCAACATTCTCAACGCCATCCCCGACGACGGGTGAGTCGTGCTTGTCTTGCATTGGTCGTGCAACGGGGGGGCAGTGCATGGTATCTGCTGCATGCGTTCGGAGCCATCTACCTGCTCTCCTACGATGTCGTCAACATTCTCAATGCCATCCCCGACGACGGGTGAGTGGGAAATGCATGCTTATATCTACCGAGTCAAGCATGCATTTTCAGCCTTCTATATTGAAATCACTTTTGAGAATTCTCAAAAGTGATTTCGAAATGCATGCTTATATCTACCGAGTCAAGCATGCATTTTCAGCCTTCTATATTGAAATAACTTTTGAGAATTCTCGAAAGTGATTTCGAAATGCATGCTTATATCTACCGAGCCAAGCATGCATGTCCAGCCTTCTCAACTTCGTTCCCAAGAGTTGGTGAGTTATGCATGCCTTGTAACAAGGAGGGCTTTGCTTATCGTGTGATGAGGTGGGATGTGTGTGGTTGACTGCCAATGCACCCTACTTGCTCCCGTACGACATGATCAATGTTCTCACCGCAATCCCCGAGGACGGGTGAAACATGCATGCTGTTATTTCCTGTGATTAACACCCTTAATTTTGTTCCCAAGGGTGGCTGAGCCATGCCTGCCTTATAACCAGGAGGGCCGTGCTTATCTTGCAATGGGGTGGGATGTGTGTGCTTTGCAGCAAATGCACTCAACAGGTAGGTGCTTAGCTGCGAAGGTACTTCTTTGCAGCACGTGGAAGGAATGCTGCCAAGGGATGCTGCCAAGGAATGCTGATTTGCGTCTCACTAAAAAATACACATGTAGAGAGGGTGTTTTCGCGACGTCTCAAAAACACCCTCTCTACTCCTTTGCAGCACGTGGAAGGAATGCTGCCAAGGAATTCTGAATCGCGTCTCTCTCAGAAATACTACTCAGTACGTGCTCTGCAAGAAAGTGTTGTTATCCCATCTCTTGGTCTCCTTACTCTCCTGATTGCAGGCTGAGCATGTTCACAAACGAGGATGTGTCAGTGGGAGCGTGGATGCTTGCCTTCGACGTGCAACATGAGAAGTCATATGCTCTCTGTCAGAAGAACTGCACGCCCTCTGCTGTGGCTCTCTGGGAGCCAATCTGTGCCGGCCTCTGCCGGCCGTATGTGCAGATGAAGGAGCTTCATCGAAACCCCGCGTGCTCTGGGACACACACATTTTAACCCTTGTGTGATTGATTCAAGAGATGCACACAGAAAACAAGCGTGTATGTCATTTATCTTCTGCTGCTGTTGCTGTGCTGTGATCGATTGAATCGTGTATATCCAGGGTTACCACACGAGCTGGGGGTTTCTCCATAAATGTTTATGCCGTCCGTTGTGGCTGTGCGGGGGATGCCCGGCCGCCCCGTGCTGTCTGCATGCCTTGCTGGGAGAAGGAAACAGAAAAAAATATGTGAATTGTTTACATGATGTAGCATGCCTTGTTTGTAAGGATATACGCCCCATTCCAGCCCAATATAAGCTCCGAAGCTTAAAAGGAGCTAATTCGGGACTGTCGTGTTCGCATCGCACGGTCGAGGAGCTTCGTCCCGTGTACGAAACTTGTGTTGTTTTATCCATCGCACGTGCGTTATTTTACGACGTGTTGCGACCCAAAGAGATCGGTTTGGGTCGGCTCGACCTGGTCGGCTAAACCCAACCCGACCAGATCTTCGGAAACGCGACTCGGGAAATTACGGAATTTCCCGTCGATTTCCGTGCATCCTCAAGGGACCAGGAAAGCAGTTGCCGGGCGGGGGGATGGTGAGCTGGGTCTACCGCGCACCATCATTCGCATCGATATTACAGGGTATCATTATGCGCGGCGAATTTGAAGCGACATTTGCACGAGAACTCTGAAGTTCGCAGACTAGGGTAACCCTCCAGCTCGATTGGGTTGGGTCTGGTTGGCCTGGTTGAGCCGACCTGGTCGACCCAGGTCAGGCAGACCCAACCGGGTCTGGTTGGCTCGACCTGGTCGGCTAGACCCGAGATGCAGCCTTCCTAGAATCGATGGATCGGGGGGTGGTCGACCCAATCCGTGTGGGTCGCAACACGTCGTTATCCCCCTTCCCTTTCCCCATTCTCCGCCCCACTCCCCCCTCTCCCCCCACTCCCCCCTCCTCCCCCTCCACCCTCCTCTCTTTCTCGCTAACAGCCGTCGTATGCTTTCGTCAACCTATTGTCCTTGGTTCAGCCAATTCCAGAAAACCAACTTGCGAGACCGCAAATCTCGCCAACTTCTCTCGCACAACGTGGCTTCCGCCCGTTTTCCGCCTCTCAAGTTTTGCTAGAGAAGACGAGAGAAGACCAAGCTCGCCGTGTGGCATGACTGCGCAGCGCAATCCGCACACACAAGCACAGAACACATTGCGGTGTTGTTGACCACAATCACTGTTGGAAAACCTTCCAAATTCCCTAATCGCTTGACCATATCCACTTTCGACAAGCTCGATTCTTTCTCCCTCGCAATCCCCAATGCACAGGGGGGACTAACGACGTTGGCCGGCAAGTGCTCATCGTCGATGGAGTCTTGGGAGTTGGTGGCCGCAGTGACTGACGAGGAGGGTCCGTCTCGTCAGCCGCTGCTCCAGATATATGGCTGCTCAGGTCCAAATCTTTTGTTTCTATTTTTCCCAAATGATAGCCTCAACCCCTGAGCTCGCCAGACAAGCCATCCATTTGCTCTCAGAATGTCTGTCCCGGTGAAAGCCTCAATAAGGCCGTTCGCTGACGGCGGTTATCTACTGATGGTATTCGAGGCGCCTCATAAAATATTCGCGAATGACTCAATAAAGAACTTTCATTGGTTCTACCCGCTGATGACCCTCAAAGATCAACCGTCCGTCGAGTCGCCGCGAGTGCCGCTCGCGTCGTCGTCGCGCGTGTCCTGGTCCCTCTTCCTACTCCTAGTAACCATCCCGCTCTTGTTCCTGTTACATATCCTCGTGCTCAGATACAGTTGCATCGCTCCCGCATGGACGGTGGCGATCGAATCCGACTCGCAGGACGAGTTAAAGCCCGTTGGCGGAGTTGCGGCGATGATTGACGTGATCGGACCGCTGTCGGACCTCCGAGGGAGCATGGGCGACTCGGAGACGGACCTGGGGGTGATGGAAGAAGCGGACGCGCCGCGGAAGATGGAAGAAGCGGAACCGGCACCGCGATGGATGGAAGAAGCGGAACTGTCGCGACGGAAGGAAGAAGCGGAACCGCCGCGAGGGATGGTTGACGCGGAGAGGAGTGCAGATCGGTTGCAGTACCCGGGCAGGAAGCGCGTGGTGGGGCTCGTCGGGGTGTTCACCGATTTCTCCAGCCGCGAGAGGCGCTCGCTGCTTCGCGACACGTGGTTCCCCGCCACGCCCGAGGAGCACGCGCGGTAGGCCATTCATGGGGACATGGGCATTCCATGGGGGCATGGGGTAGAGGTGTGAGGGCGTGGGGGCAATGTGAGGCGTATCGTTGAGTGGAAGCGGCGACGAGGCTGGTGTTTCGGGTCATCATTGGGCACGGCAGGAGCGCGGCGACGAGGCGATGATAGGCGATACGATGCGATGGGATTGTGCCCTCTCTGCACCTTCCCCCTGTCCCTCCCCCTGTCCTTCCCCCTGTCCTTTCCCCTGTCCTTCCCCCTGTCCCTCCCCCTGTCCTTCCCCCTGTCCTTTCCCCTGTCATTCCCCCTGTCCTTCCCCCTGCCCTTCTCCCTGTTCTTCCCCCTGCCCTTCCCCCTGCCCTTCCCCCTGCCCTTCCCCCTGCCCTTCCCCCTGCTCTTCCCCCTGTCCTTCCCCCTGTCCTTCCCCCTTCCCTTAGAACGTACATCTCAGGGTGGAAACAATGACACGCCTGGTTCCGCCGGTCTATCACCTGGCACAGGAGGAGCGCACAGGAGGAGCGCACAGGAGGAGCGTGGTGAATGAAATAAGCTCTCTCTGCCCCCCTCTCCCCTCCTCTTCCCCCTCCACCCTTCCCCCCACCTTGGCGTGTCTCCCAGCCAGCCCAGGGTGAACGAGGAGGAAAGAAGCGTGCTCTCACTGCCGCCCTCTCCTCTCCGCTTCACCCCCCACCCTCCCCCCCACCTTGGCGTGTCTCCCAGCCAGCCCAGGGTGGAAGCAGCGACAAGGTGGCTGGTGGTGTTTGGGTTCGGCCACGGCAGGAGCGAGGTGAACAAGGAGGAAAGAAGCGTGCTCTCTCTGCCTCCCTTTCCATCCCCCGCCCTCCCCCCCCACCTTGGCGTGAATCCCAGCCCAGGGTGAACGAGGAGGAAAGAGGCGTGCTCTCTCTGCCCCCCTTTCCTTTCCACCCCCCTTCCACCTTGCCGTGTCTCCCAGGGTGGAAGCAGCGACATGGCTTGCGATTTGGTTCATCATTGGCCACGGCAGGATCCCGATGTGATGTGATGCAGTGATGTGATGTGATGTGATGTGATGTGATGTGATGTGATGTGATGTGATGTGATGCAGTGATGTGATGTGATGTGATGTGATGTGATGTGATGTGATGTGATGTGATGTGATGTGATGTGATGTGATGTGATGTGATGTGATGTGATGTGATGTGATGTGATGTGATGCAGTGATGTGATGTGATGTGATGTGATGTGATGTGATGTGATGTGATGTGATGTGATGTGATGTGATGTGATGTGATGTGATGTGATGTGATGTGATGTGATGTGATGTGATGTGATGTGATGTGCTGTGATGTGATGTGATGTGATGTGATGTGATGTGATGTGATGTGATGTGATGTGATGTGATGTGATGTGATGTGATGTGATGTGATGTGATGTGATGTGATGTGATGTGATGTGATGTGATGTGCTGTGATGTGATGTGATGTGATGTGATGTGCTTTGGATGCGGTATGTGTTCCGGTTGACATGGCTTGTGCCCTCTCTGCGCCTTTTCCCCCCCCTTCCCCGCCCTCCTCGTCCTACTATTCACATGTTCCCCAGACTGGAAACAGAAACGGGGCTGGTGTTTCGGTTCATGATCGGAAATGGGTGGAGCGCGGAGGACGAGGTGCTGTGAAGCGATGCGCCCTCTCTGCACCTTTTCCCCCTTCCCCCCCCTCCCCGTCCTCCCCCTTTCCCCCCCTCCCCGTCCTCCCCCTTTCCCCCTCTCCCCGGTCCTCCCCCTTTCACTCGCATTCCAGAGTGGAAGCAGAGGCCGGGCGGGTGTTTCGGTTCATCATCGGGAATGAGTGTAGCGCAGAGGACGAGGAGAGGTGTCCTGCCCTCCCCATCCTCCCCCCATCCTCTCCCCTTCCTCCCCACTACACGCATTTCAGCTTGGAAGCAGAGGCGGGGCTGGTGTTTCGGTTCATTATCGGGCACGGCACGAGTGCGGAGGAGGAGGAGCAGCTGCAGGTGGAGAACAGCACTCACGGGGACTTGCTTCGCATCGATGTGGACGAGGCAGACTTCAATGCCAACCGCAAGGCGTGAGTTGCTCGCCTTTTATGATAGATGGCGTGAAATGGGTGGAGCGCGGAGGACGAGGAGCAGCTGCAGGTGGAGAACAGCACTCACGGGGACTTCGCTTCGCATCCACGTGGACGAGGCCAGCTTCAATTCCAACTCCAAGGCATGAGTTGCTCCCCCCCCTTTGATGACAGTGTTCAACCACTCATGGGGACTTGCTTCGCATCCACGTGGACAAGGCCAGCTTCAACCACCAGGCGTGAGATGCTGTCCTGCGTGAAATGCTCGCTGTTACTATGCTGCAGGGAGTTCAATGCCAACCGCAAGGCGTGAGTGGCTCTCCTTTTATGATAGATAGCGTGAAATGCTGCCTGCCTGCTATTATGCTTCTTCCTCGCATGCTGCTGCATCTGAAGCCCCTTATGCTTGTACCTTCCACGTACCTTCCTCGTGCCTTCCGCATACCTGGTGTAGTTCCTGTGGAGTTTCGTCCATCCCTGCTGCCTACTTGCTTTTGTTGCATTGGTGTGATACGATTCGTAATCTATAGGTTTCCTAGTAACAAAATGCAGTACTGTTGAACTCCTCTCAATCATTTCTCTACCTGTTTTCATATATTTCCCTATCCCCCATCCCCCAGTCTCGTGTACTTCACATCACTCTTCAAGCTCTATGAAGCCGAGTTCTACGTCAAGGCAGACGACGACATCTACCTCATACCAGGTGCGCCCATCTTACACCTCCCAGGGCCTCATACACCTCCCATGAAGCAGGGCTTTAAGGCAGACAGACGACGACATCTACCTCATACCAGGTGCGCCCATCTTACACCTCCCAGGGCCTCATACACCTCCCATGAAGCAGGGCTTTAAGGCAGACAGACGACGACATCTACCTCATACCAGGTGCGCCCATCTTACACCTCCCAGGGCCTCATACACCTCCCATGAAGCAGGGCTTTAAGGCAGACAGACGACGGCATCTACCTCATACCAGGTGCGCCCATCTTACACCTCCCAGGGCCTCATACACCTCCCATGAAGCAGGGCTTTAAGGCAGACAGACGACAACATCTACCTCATACCAGGTGCGCCCATCTTACACCTCCCAGGGCCTCATACACCTCCCATGAAGCAGGGCTTTAAGGCAGACAGACGACGACATCTACCTCATACCAGGTGCGCTCATCTGAATCTTCCCATGCTCTGTGAGTGAGTGCGGCTTAGAGTTACGACAACCCAAGTGCTATGGAACGGGTCTCTAAGGCAGGCACATCCTAAGGCAGGCAGATCTGGGCGTCCATTTGAGACTCACGTGGCAGAGGGCTGCTGCTGTTACTGGGACTGTGTGTGCATGCAAATGCTTTTTGTGCTGCTGCAGAATGTCTTTTTTTCTCTCTCTCTCTGAAGAATTGAGGATCATATCATGTGTTGCCGGCGACACTGAGCGTCCTTGCTCACATAATATGGCTGGCAATTATTAGCAGCTTTGAGAGAGTCCTTACTCACTCACACCAGTCCCACCCTCTGCTGGCTGTTTCTGTTCATCTCTGCAGACCGCCTTGCTTCTCTGGTCGCCATGCCAAGGAAGTCACCTCGAACGTACCTTGGATGCTTCAAGAATGGAGCCGTGGTGACCAACCCCGACATGAGCGAGTGAGTTGCGATATTACACCTGGATCGCGCTTGCTGGCAATTCTTTCGGCAACCTTCTCAGCCCATGCAGCAGCATACGGTGTACCGAGGTTTTAAACAAGTTGTGCATTCCTAGTGTTCCTAATGCTTTCTATCACAGTCCCATCCCATACTAACTTCAGGTGTCCTTATGTTTGCCGGACGAACAACTGCTGCTGCTGTTCTCATCCTCATACTCACTTCTGACCTCTTTCCTGTTTTGGTTTTCTCGTGTTTTGGTCTTGGCAGGTTTGAGCCGAACTCACGACTGCTGGGGCCGCAGTATTTCCTGCATGCATACAGCAACATCTACTCCCTCTCCTACGGCGTCGTCAAAATCCTCAACTCCGTTCCCAACGGCAGGTGAGACTTCCTTTCCATTATCCATGCTTGTAGCCACCAAGTCGTGCATGCCTTGCGGTGATGTGCGCCTGTGACTGGTCTGCTCCCCCTCCTACAAGGCATGCATGTCTCTGCAAGGCATGCATATCACTGCAAGGCATGCATGTCACTGCAAGGCATGTATGTCACTGCAAGGCATGCATGTCACTGCACGGCATGGATGTCACTGCAAGGCATGCATGCCACTGCAAGGCATGTATGTCACTGCAAGGCATGCATGTCACTGCATGGCATGCATGTCACTGCAAGTCATGCATGTCACTGCAAGGCATGCGTGTCACTGCACGGCATGCATGTCACTGCAAGGCATGCATGCCACTGCAAGGCATGTATGTCACTACAAGGCATGCATGTCACTGCAAGGCATGCATGTCACTGCAAGGCATGCATGTCACTGTAAGGCATGCATGTCACTACAGGGCATGCATGTCACTGCAAGGCATGCATGTCACTGCACGGCATGCATGTCACTGCACGGCATGCATGTCACTGCAAGGCATGCATGTCACTGCAAGGCATGCGTGTCACTGCAAGGCATGCATGTCACTGCAAGGTATGCATGTCACTGCACGGCATGCATGTCACTGCAAGGCATGCATGTCACTGCACGGCATGCATGTCACTGCACGGCATGCATGTCACTGCAAGGCATGCATGTCACTGCAAGGCATGCATGTCACTGCAAGGCATGCATGTCACTGCACGGCATGCATGTCACTGCAAGGCATGCATGTCACTGCACGGCATGCATGTCACTGCAAGGCATGCATGTCACTGCACGGCATGCATGTCACTGCAAGGCACGCATGTCACTGCACAGCATGCATGTCACTGCAAGGCATGCATGTCACTGCACGGCATGCATGTCACTGCAAGGCATGCATGTCACTGCACGGCATGCATGTCACTGCACGGCATGCATGTCACTGCAAGGCATGCATGTCACTGCAAGGCATGCATGTCACTGCAAGGCATGCATGTCACTGCACGGCATGCATGTCACTGCAAGGCATGCATGTCACTGCACGGCATGCATGTCACTGCAAGGCATGCATGTCACTGCACGGCATGCATGTCACTGCACGGCATGCATGTCACTGCACGGCATGCATGTCACTGCAAGGCATGCATGTCACTGCACGGCATGCATGTCACTGCACGGCATGCATGTCACTGCAAGGCATGCATGTCACTGCAAGGCATGCATGTCACTGCAAGGCATGCATGTCACTGCAAGGCATGCATGTCACTGCAAGGCATGCATGTCACTGCAAGGCATGCATGTCACTGCAAGGCATGCATGTCACTGCAAGGCATGCATGTCACTGCACGGCATGCATGTCACTGCAAGGCATGCATGTCACTGCAAGGCATGCATGTCACTGCAAGGCATGCATGTCACTGCACGGCATGCATGTCACTGCACGGCATGCATGTCACTGCAAGGCATGCATGTCACTGCAGGGCATGCATGTCACTGCAAGGCATGAATGCCTTCTGCCAAAAAAAATTCCTCAACTTGAACGCTAACTAGTATTCTCCAATTTCTGCTCTCTTTCTGCATTACAGGCTGAGGATGTTTGTGAATGAGGACGTTACAATGGGGGCATGGATGCTCGCCTTCAACGTGACACATGAAAGGAGTTGGCCGCTCTGCCAGAATATATGCACGCCCTCTGCTGTGGCTGTTTGGGACATGCCTATCTGTTCTGGCCTTTGCAAGCCTGAACTGCAAATGAAGCAGCTACACGAAAACCCTTCCTGCTCTGAGAAAGTACCAGTGCAACCTTAGTGATTGATCTAGGAGATTGTACACGCAAACTTCCTGTAATAATGCATTTTTTTAAAGCGAGCAGGCAAAATAGTGAAGGGAGGCCCAGCTTGAAATCGGGAGGAATCAAAGCACTGTGGCAAAAAGATGGTCGAAACTGTCAAGAATAGAAGTGTTGGTGTCATTGATGTGAGTTGGGGTACATATAGCAAACCCTAACCTCTGTACTCGCTAAGACAAACCTCACTACAGGCTACAACATTTGACACACCCCCATAGCCTAAGTGAGGGGTGTCTAGCAAAACCAAAGTGTACGGTCACAAGACCAGTCACAAAGATACAAAGCTCAGGGTGGATCACAACGTCACCACACATTCTGAGCACAAGCAACAGTGGCCACAAGGCCAGTCCAAGAGTTCACAAGTGTGTATAGCAAGAGTACAAGCAAAGCAAACAGTGAACTCAAGCCTATACACGACTAGAACCTGTGTCAACAAAGCCTAACTGCACACAACACCTCTGGTGGTCACAAGGCGGAAGCGCCTTGGTGAAGATGTCTGCAGTGTTGGCCTCGGACTCCACAAACTCGAAGCGAGCCTGTCCACGTCTCTGCAACTCTCGCAGAAGGAAGTACCTGACGTGAATGTGCTTCACTCTGCTCTCCAGTCGCGGCTTACGACAGAGGAGGATCGACGCCTTGTTGTCAGTGAACAAGGTCGGTGCAGAGCTCGGCCGCTCACCAAGGTCAGCGAGCAAAAACGTCAACCAACGCAGCTCCTGTGCCGCCATGGCACCAGCGTAGATCTCAGCCTCACCTGTAGAGGTCGAGACTAAAGAGGAGCGCGTGGACCACCAGGAAACAGCTCCAGAACCTAAGCTGAAACAGTACCCCTGAGTAGACCTGCGAGTCTCAGCGTCGTCAGCGTAAGAAGAGTCACAGTGACCAGTAAGTACGACAGGCTGCTGCTCACCAAGCACTAGCCCCACGCCTGATGTCGTCGCTAGGTACTTCGCCACCCTCACAGCTGCCGTCCAGTGAACAGGACGGTGCCTCCCTGGCGCAACAAAGCGAGCAAGGACGCTGAGAGGGAAGGCGAGGTCCGGGCGAGTACAAGTCATCAGGTACATGAGGCAGCCCACTAGCTCTGCGTAGGGACCACTTGACTCAAACGGCTCGTCACGAAAGGGTCCAGTGAGTCTGTGGTCAACAGCAAGAGGTGTGTGCTGTACTGTGGAGTGCTGAAACTCGAACCGCTGAAGGACCTGCTGCACCATGTGTGACTGTGAGAGTGTAATGGTGCGAGCAGCTCTGTCCCTGGTGATCTGCAGGCCAAGGTAGTGACGCAGCTCACCAAGGTCAGTGCACGTGTGTCTCTTCTGCAGTTCGGACTTCACGTCTGCCAAGGCAACCCTGTCAGCAGTGGCAAAAACCAGGTCGTCGACGTAGACTAGAACAAAGAACGGTGTGGAGCCACGACAAACGAACAGCGACGGGTCGGCAGACGACGGCTGAAAACCAAGGTCAGCGAGGGTAGAACGAAGGGTTTGGTGCCATTCACGAGGAGCCTGACGGAGACCGTAGACCGGTCGCCTCAGCCTCCACTGGGTCCTAGGAGGGAAAGTGCCAGTGAAGGCAGAGGGACGACGCAGCCAGACCTCCTCGTCTAGGCTACCCTGAAGAAACGCAGTAGAGAAGTCAAGAGAGTGTAACTCGTAGTCTCTCTGTGCCGCTACGTACAGAAACACCTGAAGAGTGGTCATCTTCGGGGTGGGCGCGAAGGTCTGAAAGAAGTCAACTCCCTCGCGCTGACTGAAACCTCTAGCCACGTAGCGCGCCTTGAAGACCGGAGGAGATCCCGGTGGCCGCTTCACCCTGTAGATCCACATGCCATCGACTACGTTCGCCCCAAGAGGGGGAACCCTGTAGATCCACGTGCCTGTGGATCTGTAGGAGGCCATCTCTACGTCTATGGCAGCTCTTTACTTAGAGGCCTAAGGCCCTGACACTGCCTCAGCGTAAGTGCGAGGAGTCGGTATGTCAAGGGCGTCGGGGTCTCCCTCAAGGGCGATCAGCATGGCACAGAGATGAGGGGAAGCGGCTGCCAGGAACTCTAGCTCAAACTGCCTGTCCTCTAGGGCGTCACAGCCAAGGGCAGACACACCTCTGACGGCCAGGGGACTGGAAGGAGGAGCAGCCACAAGACTGGTGGCGAAGTCAAGGCGGCGAGTAGAGGCAAACTCAGTGATTACGGCAGTAAGAGCAGAGAACACAGAGGCACGAGGGTGGGTAACAAGAGAGGCGAGAACACGAGAGTGAACAGGACGGTACGTGCGGTAGTAGTTAGTGACAGGAGTAGAAAGGGAAGCAGTGAGGGCCGACTCAGGAGGAGACGGAAGCACAGACGGAGACAGACGAGGCGGAATAGAACGAAGTAAGGCAGTACGAAGGTCAGTGAAGGGAACAGGGGACGAGGGACGAGCACGAGGGGAGCGACGAGAGGCCCATGTCTGAGAAGGAGGGGACAACGAAGACTGAGAACGAGGGAAAACAACTGGAGAGGGGTCAGGAGGAGGAAGCGGAGGACCCGAGACGGGAGGAGAGGGGGAGGAGGAAGGAGAGCGGGAGGGGAGACCGAGGGCCCGAAGACCGGAGACAGGAGGAGGAGGCGGCGGCTGTTGCTGCTGCTGCGGCAGCGGCGGCGGTTGCTGCTGCTGCGGTGGCGGCTGCTGCTCCTCCTGCTGCTGTAGCGGCTCCAGCTCCTGCGCCTCCTGTTGCTGCGGCGGCTCCAGCTGCGGCTGCTACAGCTGCTCCTGCTGCTGCTGCTGGTGCTGCTCCACCAGCCGCTGCAACTCTCTCTCCTCTCTCTCCAACTCCAGCTGCTCCTCACGGGCATGGCGAACACGAGCCTGGTGCCGGGTCGGGTAGGGGTGGGGGGGAGGAGTAGTGTCGGGGGCTGCGGCAGCCCCGGGACCGCCCTCCAAAGCACCTGGCGCACCACCCCCAGAGTCAGCACCACCAACACCAACACGACCAGGCTCACCAGGACCCGATGAGGGTGCACCCGCACCCCCAGATGTAGCACCCCCAAAGTCAGCAGGACCAGCTCCAGCTCCCGGAAGACAAGAGTCTCCTGCAACCACGGGCTCAACTCCAACTCCAGCACCCCCAGAGCTAGCACCTGTAGGGCCCTCTC